GAGAGTAAATATCTGTATCCTGGTGTCACAGTGTGCTGTGTCTTCAGCAGTAGGATATTACCATGTAGTCATAGTGTATAATATAAGGCCTGTGCTATGTGAGAGACCTCTATGGTCCCTGCCTTGCACTTTGATTTTCATCTAATAAGTCATGTTTTTGTGGTTTAATTTTTCTTAACAGTCATATTTTGATATTTTTTAAGTTTTCAGATACGGAGTTTCTCTGTATATTCCTGAATATGCTGAAATTTACTCTGTAGACCAGGTTGACCTCAATCTCAGATATCTGCCTGCCTCTAACTCTGAGTGCTAGGATAAAAGGTGTGCACCACACTGTACCCAGGTATATTTTGATCTTCTAGTTGCATTTTTTCATAGAATATAGTGTGATCAGGTTTTTTAACCCCACATACTCCCAGATCCTTTCCAACTTTCCTACCTACCGAGTTCCAGAGTTCCATCTTTTCTCTCTCTTGATGAATACGAAGAACACAAAACGTGAAACTCAAAACAAGTAAAGAAACAAACTAAACAAAGCAATAAATAGGAAAAATAAACAATAAACAAACAACAAAAAACAAATCTAACGAAGAAGCACAGAGTCTGTTCTCTATTGTCAACTATGACCTTACCAACTAGTACATTTCCATAAGGCTTTTTCATAGACCTGCTGTTGGGTTCATCTATGTTTTCTTCTCTCCTGTCCCTTATCTTGCATTTCCCATCTCCATTTAATATTTTAATCCTCAGATTCATCCCTTCAGGTACACATCACACTTATCATTCCTCCAGTGTATTGATGATTTTAGAAACAATAAATATTTATTTTCCCCCAACAATTCTATGTTTGTCTGAAAATAGTGTTCCTAGTTTAGTTATATACTGAGTTGTACTTTATATCTTTGAAAATATTTTAAACTTTTATTTTTTTTTGTTGTTGTTTTGAGATAGGATTCATGTCAGTCAGGCTACACTTGTACTCCTGATTCTCATGGCTCCATCTCTCAACTTCTGGCACAATAAGCACATTTAGCCTCTCCTATCCTTTTGTTCTTGATATATACCAAGGATACTTACTTTAAATGTGTTGTTTGGTAACCTTACTGCCTTATTGGTTGAGTGTACTGTTTTTTTTTTTCTGGCTTTTGCTCATGGTGCCATTTTCTTTGCAGCATTAACTGAGTTTCTTTTTACTGGTACAGAAACTATCTGAGGCACAGCATCCACAGTGGTGACTTTCTCTGGAATCTTTCCTCTTTCAGTGCCTGGGAATATGGCAGGTCTGGCTCACTTCTATTCTAAATGTGGCCCTGGCAAAATGGACAACTAGGTTCCAAATCAAAAGAAAATCCACTTCCTCTTTGTTCCATGAATATTCTCAAGAAGGCTGACACAGGAATGGTCAAGGAATAGATTGTACCTGATCACATGTATTAATATGCTCATATCATATAAATTGTTATTATTTTTATCAAACTTGATTTTTCTATATTAAAGTAGAAAGAAATATAAAGCTACTATATAAAGTATCATTTCAAACAGGCTGCTCCTGTTCCTTCTGCTTATATCCTACAATGGCTTGACAGAGAGTTAAAAAATTGTACTCTACAGCACCATATAGAGTCATATATGGGCAGTAGATAACATTTGGAGTGAGGTAACAGAATCTGAGAGCACACCTTCATCTAGGTTAAAAGACCTTCACAGACTTTGCCAATAGTGATCTGCTAACTAGGACCAGATCTGAGCCTTCAGTAAGGAAGTCTAGTGGTCTCAATGTTTCTGTAGCTTCAGCAAGTATTTTCTCCAATATAAAGATACAATTACTTCTACATTTGTTACAATGTTAGCTGCTAAAGAACCCAGTGAGCAGCTGTAAATCTAACTTGTGTTTCGTGGGTAAGGTGTATCAGGAATAAAGAAAGATACAAGGTCAGGATATGGTAGATCATTCTGTAATTCCAGAGCTCACAAATTAGAGGGTTAAAATCAAGTATTTCAGAAATGGCTCAGCTACAGAGTCATTCTGTGCCATCCTGACGTGTATCAGACTGTGTACCTAGAAAACGAAATTAACTTGAAATAAAGAGTGTTTTCATAAGAATAAACTGATTCTGAAGACTCCACAGAGGATGCAGTGGAGTTCAATTAGAGTCTATGCTCTGAAATATGACACAGAGAACAAGGCCCAAAGCAGAGACCTCAGTCATGGATTGTGATCTGCCTTCTCCAAAGTAAATTGTATCCCCTGGATATTGAAGAGCCAAGATATATACAGAAACAATCTTATAGGCTCCTTTTATCGCACTGACTACATTCCTGAATCATCTTTCTCATTTCTTCTCTCTCAGTGCTTGAGTTGATCAAGGACTATGTGGGGAGTCAGATAAGGCAGAGTGTTAAATAGCTGTGAGTACAAATGCACAAGGTGGATACAGGCACAGGCTATCTCAACATAGAGCTGTTTTGGTATTTCTTAAGACCTTTGTAGCTTACCATATATCATGGCTGTGAAAGTTCTACCTTAAAACACACAGGCAGTAAGAGGTAGGATAGTGTCCAGGATCAGTCAGCTTAGAGGATGCTGCTCTTTGGCTTTACAGTTATGGTCAAGTTTCTATCTCTGACCATACAATCAAACAAACAAACAAACAAACAAAAACATCCACTCTTTGTTCAGTTTCTGTTAACCATCCTTCTCCTTCATCAAGTGTACTGATAGGCCCCTCAACTCCCGCTAATGCTAAGGTCACAGTAATGAACAAACAGCTCTTGGGTTCTTTCCCACAGTCTTTGCATTATGGTAGAGGATCAAAACAATATGCAGAGAGTACAAGGAAGTGTGCCTTGTGCATGTGATTAGCATCTGTGGTAAGATCACACCCTCTCAGCAGATATAAAGATGCAAAAAGGTCTCAGCAACATTAATATTTCTGTGGTCAGTGTGACATAAACCTCCCAGATGAGGGAGGAATGTGGGTTTTCTAGAGCAGGCATGACTCAGGGCTGTAGATGTGTCTCACTTCTGCTCAAGTACCCTCCCTGTCCTGCCCTTCCAAACACCTGCACTCTTGAAAATTATCAGATAGAATATCTAGCCTGGTTTCTGTCTTAGGCTTCTGGAGTCCATAGGCTAGACTCATAATATTACAGCATCACTACTTCTCTGTAGTTTTAATCAGTCTTTGCTGAAACAGCTTCTTTTCAGGAATTCTAATCATAAACCCATGGGCAACACTCACAGAAGAAAAATCACCTCATCTCATCTAAAAAAGTCAATTGTGAATATTTTCATGCTAACTGATAGTCTATAAACAAACTAAATGTCATGTGATGATCTATATCAGAGTTCCTTAAGTGTATATCTCCTTGTATCCCAAGACTTTATGCATAAAATGTCTTTCTTAGTATATTATAAAGTACAAACCATGTAGTTTTTAAACTAACAACAACAAAGTACTGTAAAACAAGTCAAATATCAGAAGCAAAGGATTATATAATATATTTCTGCTGCATATTTATAAATATGTGTATTAAAATATTGAGATCAATATTTATATAAAAGCATTGCTTTTAATTAATTACAAAATATTTATCAAAATCATGGTGTAAATTTGCATAGAGGTATACAGTTGTAATTCATAGACAGAAATGAGTGAGGCCTGATGAAAGTGAGTATGAGGTCAGCCCGTGCCTCATAGTGTGAAATAAGTATTTCAAAAAACATACAAGAAACAATCCAAAAACAAAACAAAAGAACAGAACAAAATCGAGTCCTGAGTTTGTAACTCTGGTGAAGAGTATTTGATGATCATGCTTTTTGTCTTAGGTTCAACTTCCCAACACCATAAAAATAACAGCAGTAAATCAACTCCATGTGGAATGACATCAGTGTTCACAGTAAATATTATCTATGATTAAAAAGCTAGAAGAGGGGGTAAGAGGGTCCAGGTGGTGGAAAAGTACAAAATCTTCTTGGCCTGTGCCTTGAAACATGTCATGGTCTATATGGTACACTGCCTTGAATTATGATCTACCTGCAGTTCTTCAGAAGATATGGTACACTGCTTGAGTTATGGTCTCCCTGCTATTCTTAAGATGATATGGTACTCTGCTTTGAGTCTATCTGCAGTTGCTAAGCAGGATCTTGCAGCTGCCAAGCTTCAGAGGACATTGTGCAGGTGGGGAAAGGTAGGGGGTAAGGGTAAGGGCGAGGGTCCTGGCTTCTGGCATCTCCCCCTTCTCTGTTTAGTTAGAGAAGGCGTCTTATGACATATAGATGCATGTAAGCACATGCATACATGGTGTGGGTGAATTCATTAAAGTGTAAGACATCTATAAAAGAACACACCAAAAGGTAATTAAGTAAGATTAAGAAAATCCCAAGAGAGAAATTGATGGATAGAGCTGAGAAGGGATAGAGCCTTTAATCCCATCCCCCAAAAGCAAAGGAAGGCAGATCTCTATGAATCCCAAGACATCTGTGACCACACAGAGAGACTTTGCCTAAAAAAATAATTAATTATTAATTAATTAATTAAAAGTTTTGAGCCATGTAATTAAAAATGATAGTAAATACAATAAAATTCAAAATAAGAATTTAAAAAAAAAAAAAGCTAGAAGAGTGTGAAGGAAGATTTTACCAATGGAAATGTGAGTTCTTTAAAGACATTCCTAATACATACTTCAAGCTGCTATTAGCATAATTCAAAATCTGGAAGTAACTTAAAAAATACTAAGACAAAATTTCCAACAGCCTATTTCAAAACTAGAAGAAGAGCAGTTTCAGTCTCTCTTTTTCATATAGGTTTGGCTAAGGGCACTGCTCTCTCTGCAAGAGTATTTATCTACTTCATCTTCAAATATCAATTATGGACATTTATTTGGCAGCATCTGGCCCCAAATGTTACTTTTCTACTTGCTCTCAGACTCAGCTTTCATTAAGCAATTTCCTCTTTTCACTTTGGTAAGAGGAGGAGCAAATATCATGAGGTTGATTATCACTTGTGGTAATTTAGTTCTGCCTTTCCTCTTGGAGCCTCTTAGGGGATACAGACCAGTAAACGCCAACTTTTCCTCCAACTGGGAGATCATTCCCTCCAAGACAATCATCTCTGAGAAGAGACACAGGTAACAATAATTCCTTTTATTTATTCATCAAATGATCAAATGTACTCTAGAGAACTTCATATGGTGTGACATGAGAGTGGGATTGATGGAGAAGCCCTGTTGGTTGTGTGAGATCAGGATAATTCTGGCAGCATGTGAAAACTGTCATTCTGCCCTGGTTATTTTCTTTCAGAGTATGCTGGGACTTATGCTGTATTCTAAGAAATTAAGGTAGAGGGATCTCTGGAATTCATTACTCTTTAACTGGGTTAAATGTTTATATATTATTCATCTGAAAGATGTTATAACTGGAGCCTGGTAAGATGGGTCAATGTGTAAAAGTATTTGCTACACAAGCCTGATCTAATACTTGAGTCTGATCCCTGGAACCAACATGAAGGTAGAGTAAAAGAACTCACTTTGTAAAGTTGTCTTCTGGACACATGTACCTTGGCTCAGCTAGCTCCAACGGAAGATCAGTAATAATAAATAAAAGTTATAAAAAGAATTCTGTAATGGAAGGATTCATTTTTTAAGAAATAAGGCAAAAGGTGAATCACCTCAGAAATTTTCATAACTTAAAAATCTAGATAAAAATGTTATAATGTACAGCTTGTTGTCTTTGATATCTGCTGGCTCTCATTACAGTAGGATATTTTCTGGTTGAATCCACTTCTCTGGTCCAACCATATAGAAGAATGTGTAGACTATGGCTTGGTGGAGAGATTGGACATCTCAGCTGATAAGAGCTTCAACATAAGAGATATTTATGTGTTTGAATCACCTGCAGTGCTAACCTTTAAATAGACTTTTTTTATGTCTTGGAAATACTGAGATTCATGTATAAATAAAAACCTGAAAGAACACTTAATATTCATGTGTTTATCAAAATGTGTAAATAAATTAAAATAATATTTTTTTATTTCTAAAACTTTGACTCTTTGTTATTTGAACAGATTGTTTAAAAGTCTTTCAATGATATTCAGTGGTATCAATTTTACTTAACATTTTTATATGCTTAATATTTTGAACAAAGAGGTTGTATAATATTATAATGAATTATTAGTATACTTTTAATTCTGTCCATATTTCCTAAAAATAATTGCTATGATGAATAAAAATACAAACAACTTTAACACAAATGTGCAAAGTGTTCTTACTTGTAATGGAAATACTTGTCAGTTCATATCAGGGTACTTGGATCATTAAGTGAGTTAGTCAGACCCCACCCTTTCCCAACCCTCTGTATCATTGGATTCAGGTACCTTCCTAAAGGTGGACATTTTAACTTTTTCCTTAGAAATTACTCATGAACACATTTATCAATGAACATACACCACGTACTCTGAAGATGAGTGAGCAGGAGGTCACTTTTTCAACTGTGAGATTTCATAAGAGGTCAGGGTTGCAGAACCATGTGAGGCGTGAAGAGACTCAAGTGCCCAGAGAACCTGGTCACAGAGGTAAGCCTTTTAATTGTCTAAAATCACATTATTTGATGCATTTTAACCCTTTAACAATTTAAAAATATCCTACTTGCTTTTATTAAAATTATCAGGTTCTATTTAATCTGAGCTTGTTTATTCACAAAGGTAAGATGGAAGACAAATGTATTTGTTGGAGGACAATCATGTACAAATTTGTTCAAAATTTGGTTAAATAAGTAAAGCAATCAAATTTTAAAATTAAAAAATATAAAAAAATATATAACCCTACTTCTACTTTTTAGTCACTATCTGGGAACAGAAGAAACCATATAGGGAGATTAGAACAATAGGAATCTGTAAGAAAAGAATTTCTTGAGACTCAAAAAAATGAGAAACCTTAAGGAGGTTTTTTTACTATTTTGTTTCGTCAAGAAGAGTTCTGTTAAATTTAAAACTAACAAACAAATTAGGGTCTGAAAATACATGAAATATTCTAGAGACCCAAATCCTATGGAAATGAAGTTTATTCACTAGAAACAATACTTTCACTTTCAAAGAAAGTGTTTTAAGTGTCATAAATATCCCCAAAATCTAATTCAACAAAGCAACAACAATTTTCCATCAGAAGAGGTAGTCTCCTCCTGAGAATACAGTTGCAAAGGAAGGAAGAGGGAATGAAAGAGGGGAATTAGTATAGCCCAGTATGAGTTCCAGAAAATGTCAATGAATAATTTTGTTTATTAATGAAAAAGAGAAAAATCTCATATTTTATTCTCTTTTATTAAAAGTTACTCTGTACACCCTGTCTCATCTTTGCTACAATCTGAGATCTCTTTCTTTTTGATTTAGTGGCAATCAGAGTTATGGGTTTCAGATTCCAAATGTTTTATACTCAAAAATGTTTACTATTATATAGAGCAAAGTCACAATTACAGGGAAGAAGAGGTAGTTCAACGATAGGCCCTTTCAAGAGTGCGGATGTATACAGATCAGATCCAGAGCAGGATTGGGTCCTTACCAGTTCTCAAGTACATCCATCCCAATTTCTTTCCTCTCCATCCTCAGTTATCTCTCTTGTTGGACTGCATGCTCCAGTTTGATATTTTGTACTTGGATTTTATCTATGCCTCCAGTGCTTTCTGTAGAATGTACTTCATTTCCTGTAGAACTGGGCGAAGGCACATGCGCACCATGTAGCTTTTTCTAGGTTGAGCCAGGAGAATTCACAGTATAAGGCCAAGGCTGAAATAAGTTCAAAATTTTGTGAAAGTTCACACATGTAAGAATATTGTAGTGGGTGCATTATTCATAGAGATCAACATCACATTTTCAGTAACTTTGTATCATCAACTTTTCAAAATTTCTCCTTGTTTCCATGCTAGACAAAATTGAATTAGTATTTAGATGTGCTATTTTCATGGTGATAATTTTCTCTTCCTTCCTTCCTTCCTTCCTTCCTTCCTTCCTTCCTTCCTTCCTTCCTTCCTCCCTCCCTCCCTCCCTCCCTCCCTCCCTCCCTCCCTCCCTCCCTTCCTTCCTTCCTTTCTT